GGAGGGGATGGCTATAAGGGGAGAAGGGAGGCCATCCTTAAAAAAAAAAAATTCTAACACTGTGCCTTCAATGAACTTCAAGCCCCGCCCCCCTCCTGCTTCTAGTCCGGTCCATTTTGGTTTGAGAGAGGACATTATGTTTTCCAGCGGCACAGAACCATTTTATTTACAATTCAATTAAAAGATGTCAACAACAGAGGACTTGTCCATCCAGCCTTACATGTTGCAGCCAGAGTCTGACCCAGAACCRGAGTCTGACCCAGAACCAGAGTCTGACCCAGAACCACAGGAGAATTAAGAYGAGGAAATTGCAGCTTGTAAGTCTAGAGCTTATTTGGCAATGCTGGTGTAGATAATTTGACGTAATAGATCGGAAAACGTCATGGAAAATAGAGAAAATTGAATGGGCTGAAAAATCTGACCCTAACAGAATGTAAAGATATCTTTGCAGCAYCAYGAGRCTAAATTCAACTTTTCTGCACTCCTAGARATTCCAAGTACACAATAAACTGTATTTAACAGCTAAAATTGTGGATTGTTCAGGATATGTCCCCTTTAAKTTCTAATTCTGTAGGTACTCGGTATCAGTACTCTGTGTAGGTGAGAACCCAAACTGAAGTACTTGTGGTCATACTCATGTTCAGTTTGAGAAAAACTGGTATTGGGACACCCCAGGTATTAGCTAAACAAATAACTTACCCTGCCGAGCTCCTTATCTTCAAGAGCCAGGACACCTGTGCTCTCAGTGAACAGCTTTACCTTGACTGCAGGTAATGGCTGGGTGGTGGTGAAGTCACCCTGAGTTCCCCAACTACACAAAAGAAAACAAAAACAGAGTCTCGGTCAGTTATTAACTAACCAAAGCTTTCTAGAATGAATACTGCATAAAAAGAACAATTTTAAGGTAAAGGTTAAAGATTTTTGTTTAACAAAACTATTTTCTTCTGTCTACTGGTTAATAAAATAATCTGCTATGACAATGAAAGGTCATGAAAACAGCTCATCACATTTGTGATATCCAGGTGAAATCCTCTAGCACCTAGCTGCATCCTAATGCTGTATGAGACAGTTGTTCCAGGATGGGAGTATAAACTGCCCGGCCAAAAAAATGTGTCCACCTGGATGTCTATGATGTGGGCAGGCCCGGCACCAGTGGGCGGGTCGGGTGGGCTGGGCCCGCCCATTCAGGTATCCGGGCCCATCCAAGACAGACCACAGTATTCYGTAAACAACAGGGCCGTAACTGACCAAACAAAATGGAATATAGTATAAAACGCGCGAGTTTCTAAGGTATATTAGCCGCTGCTGCTCCCTGTGCTGTTACCTGGTAACAGGTACGCRGACTGYGCTTCCTGTCTGAGTCACATCACAGAGGAGCAGAGAGAGACACGCTGCAAACTCCTGAACACTCAGAAGTGAGGWGGGAGTTTCCAAGATTTTGTTGTCCTGTGTGCAGAATCAGATATTCCAATAGAAAAATGAAAAAGCTTTGTCTGCTGTTTGATAAATCACTGTAAACAGGAAGGTGTCTTTCAAAACAGAAGTAAAAATGAGCTTACATCCTAATTAATAGGCCAGTGTGCACAAAATATTGCTGTTTGTAGGTTTTATGTGTCTTTATGACTAATGTCAAGTTCAATTATGAAACGTTTTTATTTTTACAAAAGGATAACTTTATTAATGTGGGATTCTTTGATTTACATATAAAGAATGTTTTCTATTCTTGTTAAACACTTTAATCACCTTGCAAAACGAATTTTGTTCTACTGAATCACAGTAATTTGATATGGTAGTCAATGTGAAATAACCATCATTTTTTTAATTTCTGAGGCTTTTATTTGTTAAATTATTTTTCAGTCATAGTTTTCAGGTTAATAAATATGGTTATGAAAATGGACAGATCTAAACAACAACAGGAGCAAAGCTACAAGCAGGAACATTGGGCCTCATGCAAGAACATGTTCGTATTCTTATCCTAAATTTTTCTTACTTTTGTTCGTACAAAGTG